TGATCTCACCAGTGCCCTGTACAGTTGCAGTAAGACTTCTCTACTGATATACTCCAAACCCCTTGAAATAAGCACCAATATTCCATTAACCTTCCTGATTATTGTTGATTATGGTGATTCATTAAATGGCACCGAAGCCATGATGGGCGGAATGGTCATTTCTGTTCCTATGTCTTAAGGGCAAATTACTGCCGATAAGTAGATTATTATTGCTATTGTCCTGATCCACAGAAATGGTACTTTTGTGAGAAATACTGAAGGCCCTTAATGAATCACTACATTCAGAAGGGGTAAAGGGGTTAATCAGACCTGAAACTCCTTTCCTAATGGCATTATTGGTGTCCCTGCAACACAAGGGCTGTAGCAGGTCAAGAAGGCAGCTCACCACTGCCTTCTCCACTGCCACAACATTCTCCATGGCAATTAGAAGTAGGCAATAAATGTTGGCCCACATTCTATGAACAAATAATAAAAAAAAGATGAAGGTTAAACAATTCCTCAAGCCTGCTCCACTATTCATTTTTTTAAAAATTCACACCAACACTGTGGGCATTGCTTCTGGGCCACCATTTATCTGCTAACAATCTGCTATCTTGCATATGGATCTCTATCTTCCAGAAGCTTAGCGTGAGATCTTGGTCACCTCCTCCTGTCTCTACCTATAGGGGAGGCAATAGCCTAGCGGTATTATCAATGGACTATTAATTCAGAAACTAAGCTAATGTTCTGGGCACCTGAGTTTGAATCCCACCATAGAGGATGGTAGAATTTGAATTTATTTTTTAAAAATCTGGAATTAAGAATCTACTGGTGGCCATGGAACCATGGCTGATTGTCAGAAAGACCCATCTGGCTCACTAATGTCCTTCAGGAAAGGAAATCTTCCATCCTCATCTGCTCTGGTCTACATATGACTCTAGACCCACAGCAATGTTGTTGACTCTCAACTGTCCTCTGAAATGGCCAAGCAAGCCACTCAGTTCTATCAATTGCTACAGGTGGACCACCTGGCATCAGCCTAGGCACCAATAACAAGAGCAGTAGAAATAGCCCTAACAACCCTGCAAAGTCCTCCTTACTAACATCTGAGGATGAGTGCCAAAATTGGGAGAGCTGTCTCACAGACTAGTCAAGCAACAACCTGTCATAGTCATACTCACAGAATCATACCTTAAATCATCCCTGGGTATGTCCTGTCCTATTAGCATGACCAGACTCAGCAAAGGTGGCAGCACAGTAGTACACAGTCAGGAGGAAGTTGCCCTGATTTTCTTCTTCATTGACACCAGAATCCATGAGGTTTCAGGGCAGGAAACCTTTCCTGCTGATTACCACATACTGTCCTCCCTTGACTGATGAATCATTACTCCTTCCTGTTGAACAACACTTGGAGGAAGTACTGAGGGCGGCAAGCCATAACATACACTCCGGTTATGGAATTTCAATGTCCACCAAGAGTGACTCTGCAGCAGCACTATTTACCAAGCTGGTAGGGCCCTAAGGGACATAGGTCCTTTACTGGGTCTATGGCAGGTGCTGAGGGAACCAACAAAAGGGAAGAACATACTTGACTTAACCCTTACCAATCTGCCAGCTGCAGATCCATCCGTCTATGACAGTTTCAGTAAGAGTGGCCACCACCTTTTCCTTTGTCTCAAAGTCCTGCCTTCACATTGAGAATATTCCACAACATGTTGTGTGGCATGACTACTGTGTTAATGGGACAGATTGACAATTTGAACAGATCTAGCAACTCAAGACTGGGTATCCACAAGGCACTGTGGGCCATCAACAGCATCAGAATTGTACTCCAGCACTATCTGCAAACTCATGGCCTGGCACATCCTAGACTCGGCCATTACCATCAAACCAGGGGATCAACTCTGGTTCGATGGAGACTACAAGAGGGCATGCCAGGTGCAGCACCAGGCATACCTAAAAATGAGGTGTCAATCTGGTGAAGCTACCAAACAGGACTACTTGTGTGCCAAACATCTTAAGTGACAGGCACAGCTAAGTGATCCCACAACCAGCAGACCAGATCTAAGCTTTGTGGTCCTGCCACAATCAATTTGAGTACTAGTGGGTAATTAAACAATTTGCTGGAAGAGGAGGGTCTACAAAATATCCCTATCCTCCATGATGGAAGAGCCAAGCATGAGTGCAAAAGAGATAAGGCTCAAGCATTTGCAACAATCTTCAGCTGGAAGTGCTGAGTGGATGATCCATCTCAGCCTCCTCCAGTGGTTCCCAGCAGGTCAGTCTTCAATCAATTCAATTCACTCCACATGATCTCAAGAAACAGTTGGAGGCATTGAATATTGCAAAGGCCATGGGCCCTGACAATATTCCAGCTTACTAAAGACTTGTACTTCAGAACTTACCACTTCCCTGGCTAAGCTGTCCTGTTCACTGGCACCAATCCAACAATGTGGAAAATTACCCAGGTATCTCCTATACACAAAAAGTAAGACAAATCCAAACTAGCCAATCAGTTCTTAGGAAGGTTCACTGGACCCAAAATGTAAACTCTGATTTCTCTTCACAGATGCTGCCAGACCTGCTGAGCTTTATCCAGTAATTTCTCTTTTTGTTGCCAGCCAATTACTGCCCTATCAGTCAACTCTCAATCAACAGTAAAATGATGGGAGGTGTCATTGACAGTGCAATCAAGCAGCACCTACTCAGCAATAACCTGCTCAGTGATGCTGAGTTTGGGTTCTGCCAGGGCCATTCAGCTCCTGACCTCATTATAGTCTTGGTTCAAACATGGACAAAAGGGCTGAATTCCAGAGGTGAGGTGAGAGTGACAGCTCTTGACATCAAAGCCAATTGAGTGCGGCATCAAGTAACTCTAGGAAAATTTAAAATCAATGGGTGTCAGGGGGCAAACTCTTCGCTGATTGGAGTCATACCTAGCACATAAGAAGATGTCCGTGGCTGTTGGAGGTCAGTCATCTCAGCTCCAGGAGACTGCAGGAGTTCCTCAGGGTAGTGTCCTAGGCCAAATCATCTTTAGCTGCTTCATCAATGACCTTCCCTCATCATAGGGTCACAGTGAGTGTGATTGGCGATGATTACATGGCGTTCAGCATAATTCATGACTCCTCAGAAACTGGACAGTCTATTTTCAGATGCAACAGGATTTGGACATTTTCCAGGCTTGGGCTGACATGTGACAGGTGACATTCACACCATTTGTGCTGGGCTGCGATCATCTCCAATGGGGGATGGTCTGGTCGCCACCACTTGGCATTCAATGGTGTTCCCATCACTGGGCATCTCATTATTGATGTCCTCGGGTTACCATTGACCAGAAATTCAATGGGACTCGCCATACAAATAAAGTGGCTACAACAGCAGGTCAGAGGCCAGGCTGGAACAGTCCAAAACCAGAGGACATAGGCTTAAGGTGAGAGGGGAAAGATTTAAAAGGGGCATCTTTTTCACGCAGAGGGTGGCGCGTATGTGGAATGAACTGCCAGAGGAAGTGGTGGAGGCTAGTACAATTACAACATTTAAAAGGCATCTGGATGGGTATATGAATAGGAAGGGTTCAGAAGGATATGGGCCAAATGCTGGCAAATGGGACTAGATTTATTTAGTGTATCTGGTCGGCATGGATGAGTTGGACCAAATGGTTTGTTTCCATGTTGTACATCTCTATGACTCTAAGCAAAAAAATCTCCTGACTCCCCAAAGCCTGTCCACAAACAAGGTACAAGTCAGGAGAGTGATGGAATATTCCTCACTTGCCTGGATGGGTGCAGTTCCAACAACACTCAAGAAGCTTGACATCATCCAAAACAAAGCAGCCTGCTTGATTGGCACCACATCCACTCCTTCTATCCCCCGACACTCAGCAGCAGCAGTGTGTACTATCTACAAGATGCAAAACACAAATTTGCCAGAGATCCTTACACAGCACCTTTCAAGCTCACAACCACTTCCATCCAGAACAAGAGTAGCAGATACATGGGAACACCACCATATGCAAGTTCAGCTCAAAGACAGTCATCCTGACTTAGAAAAAGATCACCATTCGTACAGTGTAATTGGATCAAAATCCTGGAATTCCCTCTCTAATGACATTGTAGGTCAACCTACAGCACATGGACTGCAGTGGTTCAAGAAAACAGCTCACCACCACCTTCTCAAAGGCAACTAGGGAGTGGCAATAAATGCTGGCCAGCCAGCGATGCCCACATCCCATGAACCAAAACAAGAACAAAAACTACAGTAAAACCCTTAAGTTACAAATGGTTTATTTTGCTGATCAAAAATCGCCAGAACAAATTAAACATTACTGATTAAATTTTGGTCAATTACTTCCCCAGTATCCTAATTTAGTATCTGGCGTGTTATCAATACCTAACATTAGACAGGCGTGCAGCATGTTCCGGGGTTCCTTTCGTGACGCTATTATTACCGAATTACCTCCACTAGAAACGGGCTACACTGCGCCAAGGTTGCTGCTACTCCCCTACACGTTACTGCTCAGAATTCAGAGCAGGCCAGCAGTATTGGAGGAACTGGGTGTGCACAATCTTCCTTCAAAGTTGGGTGGGATTGTAAATTGCTGCTTCCAAATGGCGATTTTCCGGAATTCTTGCCATAACTAAACCTTTGTCGGAATAATAAATCGAGGGCTGACGGTCAGTTCTAAATGGGGTCAATTCTAAATGATTCTAAATCCTTTGCCTAAAACTTGCCTTCGATCAGCATCCGAGTTAACCGCGAGCTTCGAGTGAATGTTTTACTTTCTATTTAGAACTTAATGCGAGGTTGTAAACTTCGAGATGAAGTGGCTGCAGGCAAATTCTATTACTTGCACTTCGGCACGTTAACGAAACTGATCGTCGAAAAACAGAACAAGTACATTTTTTACATAAATGAGGTGCTGAAGTTGCGAAATGAGCAACAAAAACGTTGCTAGTGAGATTAGCCAAATCCGGGGTTTTTATGTTGCTTCTAAACGAAGTGCGGTTTTCAACTCTTACCCTCATTGCCCGAAATACAATGTCTTCAATCTTCGGCTTTCAGTCTGCTAATGAATGAAGGATTTCGCACAAGAAGCCCGTGCTACGCTCCAGTTGCTTTCTAATCCACATTTTTATGCGAATCTACTATCGCACATTTCGACACCTAACCCTGCAGATTTCGTGTTTCGGTTTTGAATCTGACGGCTGAGGTATTGTCTGGTAGTAAAAGGAAAAACGCACACACAATCCTCTAGACAGTGGCGCTTGTTATTAAAAATGAATTGAAAAGCCCTAGCGATGCCGGAATCGTTTTGTGTCGGCCGCCAGCAGCTCTGATGCAGATTAATTATCCGTTTCGGCTTAGTTTACCACTCCCCTGCCCCGGGTGACCCCAGCGCAGAGCGACGTTTCAGACGGAAACTGATGAATAGAGATCAGTTACAGAGCTCTGCATCTCACCTCCTGCTCACAGAGATTCACCAGGAGCAGAGGCGCAACACCTTCTGTGCAACGAACGTAGACAGCTACAGGGGTGCAAGGAGGTTTGCTTCAAATCTGCTAAAATGGGAGAGAAGGCCGGCCGACGAGACCAGTTTTCCGTACTTTCAGTTTTCTGTTATTTCCTAAACAGACTAAACCGCACAGCAGATACTACACCTATACAACCAAGGCACCCGCTACTTCATGTGTGGGAATAAACACGTGACCCTGTGTATACACATCGTGAATACATTCTTTGTGAAATATTGTTCAATCACATCGATGCAGTTTAAAAAAAACCTGACAAAAAAATCAGCTGGAAGTAGAAATACTACGATTAATCAATAAAGGTAGTGTACCCTGTTTGCTGGGTGATATTAAGACAAATATAATGTGTACAGTATATAATATTCATTGTTTCTGGTTACAAATGCCAATTTCCAATAAGCCAATCATGCCATGCCTGGTATTGCATCCATTTTGCTCTTTAGAATCCTTCTTGCAACAGTGATAATGAGCCTTTAAATGCAGTAAAACAGCTCAAAACATTTCAGAAAGAGATCACCAAACAAAATTTGACATAGAACAAGATGATGGATTTTAGGACAGATTTGGTCAAAGGAGTAAGTTTAAGGATCATCTTAAAAAGCGGGAGAGCAAAACTACATAACCGCCATTGTTTTCTTTTAAAAGAGGCCAGTGTTGAAGGAGCGCTGAGAGCCGAGGGCTAGCGGCTTGGAGAAGGTTAGATAGATAGGAAGGACGAAGTCATGGAAGGATTTTACTATTTGAAGGCCCAAGCGTGACCAGCTGGGAACCGTTAGCAAGCGCGGGTATGGTGGGCGAGTATAAAGTTTACAGACAGTGGAAGATGGGACGCTAACTCGGAATATGGAGTCTCTCGAGTCGAGAAACAGGGATGATGGCTTCAGCAGCAGATAAAGCGAAAGCAGGGGGCAGAGCTGGCGATGTCATGTTGTTTAGTGTGGGTAGTGTTGGTGTTGAAGCACTGTTCACATTGCATGCCAAGATTATGAAGAGCCTGGGTCAGGCTCAGGCAGTGGGCGCCTAATGAGAGAAGGGGACTGAATGGTTGCAGAACATAGTTTGTGATGGTGACCAAAAGCAATGGCTTCAGACCTCCCAACAATTAATTGAATGAAATATTTAATCAAATGGCTGAATTCAGGCCTCCAAACTGTGTGACTTAAAACATCCTTTTGCGAACAAATATTAATACGTAACTCTATTCATTAGAACATCTGCACTTTGCCACAGGCGACTTCAGCCTGTTTAAGGGTTAAACTTATACAGTCAGTCTTGTATCTGTAACGCAATTTTTTTCAGAACATGCTTAATATGAACCTTTTGCACGCGTGGACCAAAGGGCAACTCAAAAACGATTGATCTATAATAATCTATTGTGTGTCTTGTCACCTTATTCTTCCTACAAAGCTTGGCCGCTGTACTTCTCCAACCCGGAGGAAGTGCTTGCGAGTCTTCCATCTCCAGTATCAGCTCTCTGTGGAAAACGCTTCAACCAGACAAGTCCAGAATCCCGAGCTTGTCAAGTTTCGCTGGAAGAATAGAAACCCTCCGTTTACGATTCCTGTGCATGTGATGCATTCGTCGGGTAATCGTCCACTGAAGCACGTCGCCGGCACACAGTCAGCGTTTGAGGCTCTCCCAACATCATTGAGTAGTCGGAATCGCGAAACTGGTCTTTTCTCGACACCGTACAGCTGTCTCTAACCCGATCAAGTGATACAAGAGAACTCTTTCAAAATCCACCTTGAGTGAATGCATGGGCTCTCACAATGCCCCGTTTAACCTTGATGCGGTAAGTTATATAGAAAAGGAAACGGTCTGTAAGGAAAGTCTCTTTCCAGTTAGCAAGGACTTGGACATTAGGGCTGCTTCTCCGGCTAAGCCATCTCACGCAATGCTGCTGTCGAGACCTCCCAGCTCCCCACCTACTTAACAAAGATTAGCAACAGTAAAGCTCATCTCTGGAGTTCGAGCTCAGCTCGCCCTTCGGCAGCAACAGCCTCGACCAGAGTTATCTCGGAACAGACGAGACTCGGGCCTGACCGCTACTTCCTGCGTTCAAGAATGTGGCCTCGGGAAATAAATTAGCTTCAATAAAGCGAAACAAAATAATCACGTGAGCTCAGCTACCCATTCACCAGCCGCTTTGTCCATAACTTGAGCTCAAGTTTCGGCTCTTCTGTCCAAATCTTTTAGAAGCCTATTTACAAAATCCAGTACGCCACTGATATGTCTGATCGTTTCTTTTAGATTTGATGCGCCCAATCATTTGAAAAGATGGCACTAACCCTGGAACCCCGCAGACGCGTCGAGCATATCCATCCGGACTCTACTCTTATCAGAGTACACAAGTTCTATTTTCTTTCCGACTTCCCAGATTAGTGTCGCGCCAGAACGCCGATTAGTTGGGACGGTTCATTTTCTTGTACAGTCATTTTCACGGACTTCACATGGCATATTCTGTATTGCCTTTCTGCTTGGGGAATATCCTGATTGTCACACTTTAGAACGGCAGTCAGAAACATAAGAAATAGGAGGCAGGAGTAGCCCATTCGGCCCCTTAAGTCTGTCCCGCCATACTATTAGGATCGAGGCTGTCTCTTTCATGCCAGCTCCCCATTTCTCTTATGCCTACCTACCGGCTGACCCAATTATTATTACGCCATAAAATCTAAGATCTCGAATGCATTTTCTATTGTTTTCCTTTTGCAGTCTTTGTACCACTTTTAAACATCTCGATGTGAACTAGTAATCACTCTGCTCCTCTACTTTCTGTTTTAAAAATTGCACCATTTCATTCTTCTTTCCAAAATGGATCACTTCCTCACTCGATAGTGGCCCTCTCACCTCTAAGCTACAAGGCCATGGGATCAAATCTCACTTGAGACGTCAGCAGAAAGTCAATTAGTGATGTCCATGCCTCGACACCTGCATCCCCACGTGATTTTTTTAAAAAAAAATTAATTTACAGTTTGATGTGGTGCATAGGAAATGTTGTTGCGTCCGTGGTCTAAAATTTCAGACGAGACTGAAAAAGATACCACAGCATTATTTGGATTAGAGCATGGACCTTCCCAGTATCACGGCCAGCAAAGATATATTGCTAACATCATTAAACATATTGACCTAAAAAATTCAACTGTACCTATTGGTGGGGTGCTCAGATAATTACCCACCACTAAAATTGCGAAATTCAAGGTGCCTCCGATATTCAGTAGCTGAACTCATCCCTGTGGTCGGAAACAGGGAGTCAGAAATCGTGAGGACATGGGAGAGGTAAGGGGAAAATTTGTGGTGATCAAGACGATTCTTTAATGTGTGGTGGGGACTAATACTCATGTTGCTGCACTCTTACTCCAAGTGGCTCTACGTTCAGGCAAGGCACTTGTCTGCGTGGTTAGTAGGCGTTCTGCAGGGCTGTTTTTCCTAGCCACTGACTGCCTCAGGGTAAGCCGATACTGGAATAGGAGCTTAAATCAGGCATCAGGTCTCTTATTTTCAAATGTACCTACTCTCTGGATAGATAAGAATGGCTCCTGCTTTTACTCTATATAACAATTGGCCCATTCTATTTAGGAGGCACAGCATGATTCCTGTCCGTCACTGTGGGGCCTCAACAGCCCTATAGTACCTGAAAAAAGGGTGCTATGAGGCCCAATATCTAGGCTATTATCTGGTCATTTGTTTATTACTTTTAGTGCCGTGTACAAAGTTGATGCCATACTATAGTTCACTTAGGGCATTACAACACGAAGTATCTCAGTGACCATGAAACATTCTGGAACGTCCTGAGAAGGTGCAAACCCCATGTAGGAAACAAATAGTTTTTTTTGGTTATTATGCTGCATAGCTTCAGGATTCCAATTGTAGAGGAACAGTGGTGCTGTGAACAAAATGTCTTGTGACAGACTGCAAGCAACAGGGCAGCACCTTATGTTTCTGAATCCAAAATATCTTCCAAGAACGAGTTTCATAAGTGAAACAAGAAAAGCCTCTCGCAGAGGACGTTAAACAGGAAGAAAGTAGTCAACTCAGTAAGACTTTCGTTTTAACGATGGAAAATTGGTACTGTCTAGTAAGATCCGAGAATCTCCCAAAATATTCGCGCGCAACACAAGTAGTAAAATAATTAAAATCGAAAGGTGAGTGCGGATGGGATACAAATTCAAAACAGCGTCTCCAAGGAATGAAGAGAATTCGCGGGAGGTTCTTGCGCCATTGCTGTAAAGCAATGAGCAAATGGAGGATGAATACCTTCATACAGCAGAGGGAATTCGGCAACGTAAACCTCCTGGCCAAAAGAAAAATCCATACTAACATCATTACTGCCAATCCGGAAGAAATGGGTGAACACGGGAACCGGTGAATCCCCCAAGCCTCAGCTGAGCAAAATCACAGCCCTCCCCCACTAAGGACAAGCACACTCCACCGTCCTGCACAAATTCCCTGTCCCCTCCCATGGAGCGTGAATCACAATCTTCTCCACACGGCCCTCTCCTCGCAGCTGGAAAGACCACACACCCTCACTGGCTGAGCAGCCAAATCCAGTGAAAGACGCGAGTCAAAAGGCTCGAGTGACAGTAGCCGCCAAAAGCCTTTGGATTGACCGCAATGGAGCAATGAGCTTGGGGGAGTCCTAAACAAGATGGAATCAATTTTTGTAACACAGTTAAGATACCGCTCCTTCCAAATGAGCAGGAAGCATCCCCTCCTGCTAAATATGGAATCGGAACTGTCCTTAGTCAATGATGCCATCAAAAAACCTCAAGCCCTCGTCATGAATAAAAATCCTCAGGCTCCTTCGCCCGCTCGCCCCCGCCTTCCCCGTTCACCCCCCCCACCCTTACACTGAGAGCCAATCCAAACCCAAAACTCGCGCTCTACCTGAAGAGAAATTCTCTCCAGGTCTCCCTTCCTGCTCAGCCCTCTCCTTTCATCTTACCACCCTTTATCCGGTTCTTCCTCCCAAGCTTTTCCCCTTCCCCATCCCCCTCTTTTAGTACTTCCTTCCTTTGTTGTTCAATTTACATACCCCTCAGTCAACCTTGGCTATTCGTGTGCAATGCGATGAAGAGTCATCTTGGATTCTCCTTATTTGTTTGTGAGAAAAGCATTTAAGGCAACAGCTGTCCGCGGAAGACACGACTGTTCACAACGCTGCTTCTTGTCGGTGAACCACCCCCATTATCCATTGCCCAGTTGTAAATACAACAATATTATCTCTATATAAAGCGATCATCATGTGATAGATGACACTAACATTTTCAAGAACCCAACTCCATGTAGAACGCTTTTACACCCAAACTCCCACGTTTATTTTGGCCGTCATTTACCAGTTCCCTCCCTCCGAGAGTCGTGGGGAAAATACACAGGCCACGTAAAGGCCTTCAGAACCCAAAGCAGTTGTCTGACGTTCCGTGAACATTTATGTTGCGTGGTGAATGCAGAGGAAAAACCCGGATACAACATTTGAAGGGCTCAAAGTTCAAGCGCTGTTGTATTATTCACACCCAACTCATCATTAACAAGGCAAGTTGAAGGACCGAACGCAGACTGATATAACCAATCAGGCGCCGCTTCCATCCGTATCCTTGGTCGCCCCCGCTGCATACAGACACTTTGACGCAGTAGACAGGAACAAAATTTACAACACTGTTATACCTGCCCCAATTAAAACTGGCCGGTCAAACCTATTGGTCCGTGCAAGGGGAATCAAGTGACACAAAAATAAGTCTGCCCCAAGCAATTGTCCTCCTTGTGGCAAGTTTCTCGCAGTACTGTGTATTCTAAAACACGTAAAAACATGAATAAAAACAGATTCCACTTTTTGTTGGTTCAGGCACACGCCAAAAAGACAGCAATTGAATGTTGAAATGAGTGAATTGCAAATATATTATAAAATGTGACCGAGTCCATAAATATTTAGACTATAATAGAATATTAATATCATAAAGCTCTCCAGACAATTTGTCAGATTACTGTCACGTTACAAATTAACTGAAACATGCATCCCTCTATTGTTTTGTCCTTGGCATCCTAATCAAATTAAGATCGACTTTTTGTTTGAGATAAATTGAATTGAGTTTGTTAAAATACAATGTATGTTAATTGACTTAAATCTAAAACCTGCGAAATACCAACTGAAATTTCCATTTCGGAACAAGGAGAAACATGTTTTAAGCTTTCCTTAATCCGGAACCAAGAAGAGAGACGCAAGTTGGCAAGGCATTTGTTTCTCGAGCCGAAAGAGTGCGCGCTAATGAACAAGGGATTCAACAACTCCCGGGTGGCGCAATACTGGGGAATGTCGTCACTGGAATGAGAGAATTTCACAAGTAGTCTCTCTTACCTTGTCTGCCTCTACGTCCCCGTCTCTCTTCCTGTCAAGCCCCGACCAGCACAGGGTGTAAAGCGTCAATCAGCAACCAATGATCACAGACAATAAAACCCCCACCACAGATCATCCTCACGGTTGTAAAACACAGCTTAATGTTATATCACACCAATATTAAATCATTACGATAAACAAATTAGTGTCGGAGATTAAAAAATACAGCAAACGACCACGCTCAGATTGCTGAATGTTCATTTCTCTTACGAGGTTCTATCTGACCAAACGGTGCTCCATTTGTTGAAAACTGACCCATTCCCATCGGATAAATCTGCCAAACTACTGGAAGCATCCGCACATTCTCTGCCAGACACAGAGTACGTCCAATAATAAGGAACCAGAACGTAAATAACTTCAAAAACAAGAGCAAACCATTACCAGACTCTAAACAAGAATCGTCATACGTTCAATAGATTTCAACAAGAACCCAGATAAATGCCAGGAAATAGACAGCGAGACTTGTAAATATCGGATTATGCATTGTGTACAGATAGCCATATGACATCAATGAAGAAACGAGGAAACGCTTACAATGTCGCTGTCCTACACACAAACTGCAGTCATGTAACTGGTATCTACATGGTGTTTATTGTGCTCTGACCGGTGAAACGGATGGGAGAAAATTAGAAATGTACAAAACATTCTGAAACTGAGACCACGAAACACCTGGCAGAATGATCAGGCGAGGAGGCAATGAATGAGACGCCTCAGTGCGGTATCGTGGCTTCATCTCGCATTACACGCCTGTGTCAGCAGAACGGCTGTGAACTCATTTCCTCCTCCCTGCTGCACCGCCAGAGGAGAGGAACAAAACCCAGCCAACAATGGCATTTACTGAACAATCGGCAGGTTTTCTCCGCACTGGATGAAATAAAACATATGCCCATGCCGTTTCTTGGTCGATCCGGCCCTCCAGGAAACTAATCAACTACACTGTGTTGCTGGATCATGAGTGAGGTGCGGGTGGCCTATTCAAAAGTTTGATTTACACTATCATTGCTTCAGAAAAAAATACTGTCACAATAAGTGAATTGCATCTGAAAGTTATATATATAGAAAAAAAAAGAACTGCGGATGCCGGAACGCTAAAACAAAAACAAACATAAATATCTGGGAAAACTCAGCAGGTCTAGCAGCATCTGTGGGGAGAAAGCAAAGTTAACGTTTCGGGTCCAATGACCTTGCTTCTGAAAGTTAGAACCTGCCCGAATCTGCCCTTTAAACTGAGTAAACATGCAATAGACACAATACGTAATTTAAGTGGCGTCAGGTACACCCTAACCCACCCCCTCACAAACACAGTCAGCTCAGACAAACCTCGTGTACACATCAAGCATCCAGAATAAGCAATGCTTCTGCTG